CATTACGTCTCAGGTACAAGTAATAAAAACACTGTATTGGGATAGGGTGGGGGAAGCTGTGCATCTGGATTGATTGATAGAAAGAAGTAGAATTCTTGCTCAGTTGTGAGCACTGCTTCAATCCTTCCTACTTACATTAACCCGATGTGGTTGTTGAATGATTTGTTCCCTGGGCTCTGGATGAATAATTACAAAAACACAGAGTGGATGTAGAATTCTGACTGGAATTTGTACCTAAAACATTTACAGAAAATCAGTTGAATTGTTAATAGTTAAGATGCTTGGCAGGTTATGGGAAGGAAGATGATTGAATTGAGATTTTGAGCCCAGCTCAGGGAATGAGGACTCAGCTCCAAGCAGGAAAGTAGGAAGAATTTTAGAGCTCAAGACTTCGTGTTACAGGATGTCTGTGTACAAATAGTGCAAACTCTGCAGCAACAAAAAAGGTAAAATCCTAGAACTTAATTTAGGACTGAAGTTTCTTTGACCTGTCTCTTTATAGCTTCAAAGGCCAAGCTAGGATTTTTCCCTTTTGACTTTGTCTAGTGTGAAATGTATTAGGGATATGTGTGTCCAATCTTCTTCTTTTTTTTTTATTCCTACTCTTCTCTCAATTCCTTGTCTTGCAACAAACAAACCAACAGATCTTATTCTCAAGCCTGCAGCTGGCTATGCACATCCTCCTGAAAGATGCAGTTGTTCTATGAGAGTTTTCTAACTTGAGTGTGTTTTAAATGAGGCATTTAAATCCTATATAGAGGCAGTACTAGGGTGTATTTTTGGGGGGGTGGGAGGGAAATTGCTTTTTCCTTAGCATATTGTCTACACAGCATATATTTCATCATGAAACAAAATATTTATTAATGTTCATATATATTATTTTTACATTGTTTGGAGTTTTGAGCATGAAAAATTATGCTTTTTTAACCAATCTGCTTAAGTATACAGCTAAGAGATGAATTTGGGGAGTGGAAAATGGCAATTCTTTCCTAGGAGTTCTCTTTATTTGCTTTGTGGTGGGTTTTTTAAACAGAATTATCAGTCAGGCAATCTGGAAAAAGATGAAGTAAGATACCCACCCACTTCAATTTGTGCTTATAGCTAAAAGTTAATAATTGGTTAGCACATTCCCAAACTTCAGATTGTTCTTCAGACTTAAACGTCAGTGGCTAACTGGCAGGTGCATATCCCCTTTAATATGAGATACTAATGGAGAAAAGCAAATTAATTTTTATATTGATCATATTCTGATTTTGTTTTTGCTTGAGATGGCATATTCCTTGATATGTTAGAATGTAAGTTGGAAGTGTTTGATATAGCGTAAGCTCTGATAATTGGGAGGCATAGTTGCTTTATAATGGCATGGATGATTATGATTATGTGTTTAAAATTCAGATACCTCTTGGGATGCTCAGGTTTTTTTTAGCAGTATGGGGGGGGGGGGTAAATTAACAAGTTAGTACTACATATGTCACAGTTAAGTATAGGGGCCTTTCAGCGATTCTTCAGTGAACTTTTAGAAAAAAATTAGGGAAAAAGCAACAAATGCAGCTTTTTATTTAATCTTTGTACTAAATCTCTAACCAATTAAAAACTGGAATTGAGGTACAAGCATAATTTAATGCTAGCCTTTAAGAAGGTTGAAAAATCAGGAGTGGTGATGAGGTGGCTCACTCCCTTGCCCATCTCTTCATAAATTTTCTATACTTTTCTTTCCCATTCTAAAAAAATAGAAGCATGATAATATTCTGCATGTAAACCAGTATTAAGTTTGTTTGGACAACTTTGAACCAGCTAAGGATGGCAAAAGGAATCACAGTATGTGATGCTGCAGCTTTGCAGATATTTTTGCAACATCCCTTGAAAAGCTGTATTCTCCAGTTTAGCTCAGATTTAATGCTGTGTACGATGTTCACATTCCATGCATGGAAATGGAAAAATGATCTATAAAGCATAAGAGAGATAGTTATTTCCAATAGGCATATTTGAGATGTTTTATTGTGAGTGAGAAGGCATAGAAACAGAGGATGAAGGAAATGAAAATTAGATTGTAGGAAATAGTAGCCATGGAAAAAGAGAATTGTGAAAGATAATTGAAGCCCTAGAATGCTATTTTTTTAGTTCAACTTCACTAGTTGTTAATACATGAAATTTATTGGCTCCAACCATAAAAGCATAAGTACTGTATGCTTTAAAAGTGAAAGCTGGGATTCTCAGGATATTAAATTCTAATACTAAAGATTCTATACTTGTATGATGTCAAATACATACTGCCCTGGACATGAGGATATAAGTCTTTATATATTCTTAGTCTGACAATGATGTATATTTTACTAGCCTCTTGCAACCCATATAATGTCACTGTAGCTTTATAGCTACAGTTTTAAATTCTAAGAACCTATAGGTTTAGTGTTACAGCCACAGATGTCTGTAGTTTGCTACCACAAGGAAGGAATTTTGCATTATGACGTGGTGATCCAAGACCCATGCTTTTGTATTTCCATTTACATTGCAATGCACATTTCATCACTTGCCTCTGTTTGTCCACCCATGGATGCCTATGGTTCCACTGTAGAGATTTGGGAAGTGATAGCCACAGAATCATATTGTGTTTCTAGTACAGTTTATCAGCAACTGCTTTGTTGCTGACTGCTCCTGTCTTTTGTTTTCAAGGTTCCAAGCTGTGGGATTGCTCAGAGTCTCCTATCTTGCCTGTTTCAGGGAATAGTGTAAGATACACTCACTTCATGGTGGCAGCCTACATTAGTAAGCAAAATATTTTTTACACATGGATACCTCTAAAGATTTATAAGATATAAAACCTCCAAACAGAGAAATACTGGGAAGATCTCAGCTGGTTGACAGCGAGATATTTGTTTTGATTAGAAAATATGCTATTTGACATACTAGAAAAATATTAACAGTAGAAGAGTTGCAACAGTCTCCTTATTACTGGTGGAAAATGATTTAAATCTTAAATCCTCAAAAATAACCAGTATTACCCAAACCTTTATTTGGGAATTTAGAAATTTTGAGCTTACCAAGTAGCATTAAATATTAATTCGTATCAGGTTTAAGACTTTAGCTAATCAAACTTCTGTTCTAGAAGGCAGGACAGGCTAGGTCTGATTATAAAGTGCTCCAGTTGCACATTGTGATGTTTTTGTTTCTTAGAACATTTACCACAAAAATGGGTAAAAGTGGACATAAATGCTAAATTTTACTCCTGATACCAAACATTATTCAGCGACCCCTTAATGTGTTTAGACATGCAGCTCCCAGCTCCAAATTTTATGCATGCTAAGGAAGTAAATTAGAATGAAAATTCATTTTAAATTTTCCTTCAAAATTAATGTGGAGCTTAATCCCAAAGAATGTCTTTTCATAATGTTATTAAGACAGGAGTGCTCTGGGTCATGCCAAGGTTAATCTGCAAGAGGAGTTCACTCTGTCCTATGAAATATTCTGCTTGTCAGATTTGCTGTTGCTGGCCAGCTTCTTTTTATAGAGGACTCAAGAGTTTCAGAAATATATTTTTGTAGACAATAACTAAACTGTGAAACTTAATAAGGCATGTAAAAGCATTTCCAATGTTTTCCTGTACAGATTTTTCTCCCTTCAATTCCCTCTTGGCTTTTGTTAGAAGTTTGACAGTTTCTTGAATATATTTTAATAAATATTTCGTTTATGGTTATGTGGGTCTTCTCATTTAAGTGTGTGGCTACCTTGACTAATGCTGATGATATGTATCTTTAAATGTTGCCTTATCTAATTGTGCAGGTATACACTTTCTTTTCTTTAAAATGAAAAAGCTAGTAAAGTTAAAAATAGGTGAGGATGTAAAATAAACCTATGGAGAATAATTAATGGTAAGATGACTCTGCAAACATTAAGTACACAAACTCCTCCCTTTAAATGTGGCATCTTCCACAATGTTACTGAAAACTGAGCTTTCTGTTCAAAAATCAAAGTTCACTTTGAAGAGACTGGTAAAGACTTTTAGCTGTAATAATGTAAATAAAAGAAATAAACAGTTTTTCACAAAGAAAATATTTTACTACCCCAAAAGGTTATTTATATAATCTGGAAAAAGGAGGTTCTTTTACACATTTTTGAGAACATAGAAATGAAGTTTTGAGCATCTACTGTCATAATCTCAATCTTTGGCTTGGTCAGCAATTGTAAAACAGGGTAGTCTTCCTGCTTTAAAAATGTGGAGGCTAGTCTTCCTATCCTTCATTTCCCACTGTAATTATCTGAGCTACTTTGGTGTAGTGGTTAAGACATGAAGCTCGAAACCAGGAGACTCCCAGTTCTGGTCCTGCCTTGTGAATGAAGCAGGTGGGTGACCTTGAATTAGTTGTCTCAGCCCTAGGAAGTATTTGAAATCCTGCCAAGAAAATTTCAGGGACTTAGTTCAGACAAGTTGCCAGGAATCAACTGACTCAAAGGCCTGCAACACACACACACATGGCCATAACATGTAGTTGAGTTATACCTGTTTATACTTACATGTTTATATGTTATGCTCATACTTGTTTTCTCATACATGTTTGACAAAATAAGTCACCTGAATTAGCGTTCAGGCAAAGCTTATCAATGGATATTTGTTATGATAATCTATTACCATAGTAGCAAAGTAATATCCCTTCCAACGCCAGCTCCTTGGAAACAAAATCGATATAGAGTGGTTGTACTCCTTCTCTTCCATTAACATGTGGCCTGTTATTGTAAAACACTGCTGGACAAGTTAAGCCAGGAGGGCGCGTCTTGCGTGTGTTTTAACCGCGTACCAAGCAGTATATCCCTCTCTGCCCTCCTGCGGGGAACGGCGGAACAAACGGAACCACCAAGGTCAGCATTGCATGCCGGAAGCGAAAAGGTAAATAAATAAAAAGTCCCGCGCGCTGCATTCTGGGAGCCCAGACCCGTGGGAGGGTTCGGCGAGCGCGGGGCACGCCGGGATGAATCGGAGCCTGCCGCGGGGCACGCCGGGAACAGGGCGGGCAGTGTTTCGGGGGGCCCAGAGGGAGAGCTGTCGCTGACTCGCTCGGTGTCTCTGGAGGCTGTTGAGCTCGAGAACCGCGGCGGAGGCGGCTTCTGCCCGGTAGGGATGGCAGACGCGACGGCCTCCCCGGTGGGGAAGCGACTCCTGCTGTTGCTGGTAGCAGGTCCGGGCGAGGGAGAAGCGGCGGGTTCGGAGCCTGGGCCTGCTCTGCCCTCCCGGGCCTGGCGGAGCGGGACCGTGCGGGCTATGAGCGGAGCCGTCCCTCAGGATCTAGCGGTGAGCCCTCGGGCGGGGAGGGGAGAGGAGAGGGCGGGGGCACGTCCTCTTGGCGTGCTCGTGATTCCCCTGGGGTCCGTGTCCCCGGAGAGGAAGGGATGGCGGAGCAGCTGCCTCCTTTTTTGGGGAGCGGGGGAGGGGGTGGAATCTGGAGGAAACGTCTCCCTCCGTTTTTTACGCCTTTGCGCGAAATCCCTTATGTGGAAGCGGTGGGTTCTGGCGTAAGGCCGCTCTTGGGCCACCTATCTCGGATTTCAGGTGCTGCGTTTACGGCAGTTCTTGGGGTGGGGGAGGGTTCCTTTCTCGGCGAAAAAATCGCCTTCGGATCCCCGAATCCTGAGCTGAAAATGCGAGGATCCGTTTAGGAAGCGAACTGTGTGTGGTTTAAACAATATTCGCAATAGTTTGGCTGGTAAGGTTTGCGAAATTCCTTTCACGGCGGCGCCGTTTAGCTGCAGTGGGTTTGGAGTACGATGATGTTGTTGCTTTTTAAATCACGCTTTTCTAATTTAGTTGGATCTTTTAGAGATCGATCATTTTTAAGTGCTTTTTGTCACTTAAGGATACTTTGCCTTAAGCGCAAACGTCTCCAGAATTATGGGGAAATTGCATCTGGGTTAATGTGTGTGTGTGTGTGTGGGGGGGGATTAATCAAAATATAAGCCTCACATGTGAGACTTTCTTGGTTATGGGATCCATACATAAATTGGCTTTAATAGTTAAATGCGGTTTGGATTTCAGCCTCAAATATTTAATTTCTGGAGATCTTGGTGCTCTCTGAATTTGGTTATTTGCTTACAGACATTTCATTACCCAACTAGGTAACAACAGTGCTAGTGAGTGCCCTGCCAGTGTTGGTGGGGGTGTGGTTTTCTCCTGCTTAGTATCATGATTAGCGTATTGTTTTCTTTTTGTCTGATGTTAATCCCTCCTTATCTGGGTATTGGCTGCTGGAGAGGATGTGTTCTGGTCTTTTTGTTTCCTTTTTTATTGTCTCTTGAATGGTGTGGAAATGTGGTTTATCTCTGTGTGTCTAGTGAAGAAGGAAACAAAAGGATCAGGATACCTCCTCTCCAGCAACCAATACCCAGAGAAGCTGGGATTGATACTTGACAAACAATCAAGCAGAAAATAAAATAATAAATGAATCACTAAAGAGAAAATCGTATCCCCATCAACACTAGCAGAGGAATTGCTGTATATGATCAGGGAACAAACTCCTTTGTAGCACAGATGATGTTACTTAGTTGGGTAATAAAATTTCTGCAAGCAAATGACCAAGCTCATAGAGCACCAAGAACTCCACAGTTGAACCCTGAGCTACCTATATTTTCTTAGCGTAGTGTGTAAAATAGTCTATCATCTAAAGCAAAATATATGGATTTTTGGAGCAAAGTTATATGAACCCAGAAGCTTTGTTTTGTTTTATCATCTGCTTGATACTCTGAGACATCCCTGTCATGATTTAACTTGTTTCCAAAAATTTCAACAGAATTGGGTACATCACAATATGTCCTTGCTTGACCTTAGCAGTTTCCTCATTGCCTATTTTTCAAAGGAGCTTTAGGTACATTAAAAAGAAATGCTAGCTTCAGTAGACCTATGTAGCAATTCTTCTCTGCACCTCTATATTTTATGTTTACTATTACTAATAATTCAGTTTTGGGGGAGTATTTATTACAGAATTGGTAGTTGGTGGCAGAGTTTGTACATTGTATCGACCATTGTTTTAACAGTGTTGGGCTATATATTGGATAATTTAACTGGATTTGCTCATAACTCTAAGCCAAAAGCAAAATGTATTTTAGCTTATCATAGCATATAATCACAGATGTCTCTCAATACCTGGAATTATACTGTACTTGACATTTTTCATGATGGATAATGAAGAAATGGTAGATGGAGCAATGCCATTTGATTTGGCTTTCTACTATGGACATATAATCTGGGAATTTAAAAAAATTAAATTGATGTTATCCAGATCAGGTTGTATTTTTAAAATGGATATTGAAGATCTGTAGAAAATGTTTACAATGTAAATGACAGAGGTCTAGAATTACAGTATATATATGACTAGAATAAATATTAAAATAAAATATTCTGGACTGAAGTATGTTTTAGAAATTGAATTGCAAATAAGTGCACAAGGAATATTTTGGGAGGCTAAAATAGTTTTACTGGTTTGAAGATTGAGCAAGTCTGAAATGGACAAATCCTAAAAAGATTATGGACATATCTGTGATTGATCTATGATCCAAAAACTGGAAAGTTGGTCTTTATCTTTTTATGATTTAGCTTCATAATGTTAGATTCCCATGAAAGACACAGTAACCTGAACATTTTCTCAGGATGTAATGTAGAAAATAAAAGCACCTTCAGAAAGCAGCAAACTTCCACAATACAAGTAAGTAGAATGTTTAAAATGTGTTAGAATTGTTATAGCTTAGGAAGGTGTAACAAAAGTGTATGGATTAAATGGCATTAAAAATCCAGTTGAGTAATTATTGAAGGAAAGTGCAGTAAATGGGTCTTTTTAATTTAGACAAATGATTACTGAAAATGACAGCAATGTATCGTTATTAAAAATCACATGGGTGAAAGAAGCAAAAGCATTTAATGTAAAAGTTTCTATTACACCTTGTGTTGGGGAAATTCAAATGACAACAATTCAGAGATGTTGAGGCAGAGGATTTGTTCTGGGGTTGAATCATCTATCAGAAGACTGTTAAATTAGAAACTAGATATTAATATATCTCAGTACAGTGGGTCTTTTTGTTATCACTTTGTACTTACAAAGCTAGTAAGTGACAATAACAGTTATGTTTATAGATCAGTTCCTTCCCATTTTGACTCTGTCATGTTATGAACTGAAACATTTTCTTTAGAGAGATTCATGGTTTTTAAATACTATGCCTGATCACCTTTACTTCCAGTTGATTATAGTTTAAAATGATTCATTTATTGTGGTGGTTTATTTTCTTTAAAGTATTGACATATAGTGTTTTAGAGTGAGTAATCTTGTACTGAAATTGTATAAATTTGTAGAGAAAAGCTTAATCCACTGCTTTGGAGATTCATAGATATTCTGTACAATAACGTATTATAGCTTTATAATTAAAAAGTAGATGGTTGCTTATGTTGGCTTGCCCAAAATACATGACTAAGTTATATTTCCTAATTTAGTTATTATAGAAATTCATTATTATTCATTAGAGTTTATCTCAATTATTTTGATTATTTAAAATGTATGATATTATAGAATATTTAAACGTAATCTATCCTAGCTCTGTTTAAATAAATAATGTCTAACCTTAACTTCTTTTTAGCTAAATGCACATTTATGTATTGTATGTTTCATTATTAAGTAGTGTACACACACACACACACACACACAAACTGCTTTTACATTTTGGCCTAAAGAAGCTGCAGGTTCTCTAGTAGGTCTTTTCAAGCTGTTCTTGAGTAAGATATGAACATTAGTGATAACTACTCTATAGATTCTTTTTGGATTTCCCCAGCCAATTATGTTTTTATACTTAATTCTATTTCTAATTTCATTCTAACTTTTAAGTGAAAGGATTTATCCAGCTAGCTCTAGTTTTTATGAGTAAAACCAGAACTTTAAGATCATCCACAGAACCTTGTTTCAAATACTTCATTTTTCTGGTAAAAAAAGATATTTTCATTTGTACCTCTGGAATGCTATTTCACCCTAAATGTCTATGGAGATTCTCAGTCATCCAGGTCATGGTTGTCCCAAAAATGCTTTTTTCAAGAGGCAACTGGACTTTCTGGTTTTTCTTTGAAGATGTTTTGTTTCTCATCCAAAAGGTTTTGTTTTGCTTCTCATCCAAGAAGCTTCTTCAGAAAGTCCAGTTGCCTCTTTAAAAAGTACCTTTGGGACTGTTTCAGCCTCGTGTTGTTGTCTTTTTTACCTCAGACTAAGACTTTTCTGTTCTTCAAGGCTTTTGAAATATTTATATTTGATTGATTCAGAATAAATTATTTCATAATGTTAAATTCTGTTATATTCTTGCAGTGGGAAGGATTATGGATGTGTGTCTTTGAATCAGTCATGATTTCTAGTGATGATTTCATGTGCAGGTTTCTTATTTTTCTGGCAACATCTTCAGTAGTGATTTGCCTGTGCTTCTCCTATGGCTAATTGATAATGACTAGCAAAGTCTCCCAACTAAATTCCCTGCTAAATGCAAGACTAAAACTAGGTTGCCTCATTGCTAAAGGTAAAGGTTTCCCCTGTCTAGTCATAACCAACTCTAGGGGATGGTGCTCACCTCCGTTACTCAATCAAGGAAGCATTGTCTGAAGATATTTCCATGGTCATGTGGCCAGCATAAGCCAATGATACATTAAATGCTGTTATCTTCCCACTATTTATCTACTCCCATTTGCATGCTTTCGAACTGATAGTTGGATATGCTGGATTTCCAGTTCATGCTTTAACTCTTGGAACAAACTGGCTCTATTCTTGGCTGTTAGGTTTTATAATATTTTATCCCTACCCAGTACTGTATGTACAAAAGTTATTTTATAAGGCAGTGGCCCCCAACCTTTGTTGTGCCACGGCCCGGTACCGGCATCACAAAATGATCCGCGGCCTGGTACCGGCATCAGCACGCATGAAAAGGCAAGGCGAGCAGAGCGACCGGCCGGCCAGCTGTCCCCCGCTTCTCCCCGCCACCTTCAACTCCTCCTTTGTACCTTTTTTGTGCTTTCTTAATCTCCTCTGCCATCGGGACGGCTCTTCGTTCAAAGCCGCCCCCCCTTCGATGAAACTAAGGCGCGAGGATTCCTTCAGGACCCAAACGCCGCTTTCCAACCGGAAAAGCTCACCCAGAAGCACTTTCTCATCAAAACAAGATGGCAGCGCCCAGCAAACCGGCGGCCCAGTAGAAAATGATCCATGGACCAGTACCGGTCTGGGGCCTGTTGGTTGGGGACCCCTGTTATAAGGCATTTGCCCAATGAATACAAGAAAT